GTTGAATAATATTCCTTCATATTTCTGTTAAGAACTTTCCTGTTCATCTCCCAGATGAAAAATCTTAATTCTTTATAGAGATTCCTGTTGTAGAATCGTTATTTTATTGGTATTTAAAAGTTTATACAATGCATTTAAGATTAAAAAAAAATAAAAAAGAATAACCCACACCCCATTCATACCCCCCTCTAGTCTTCTAGTCTTATGCCCCCAGGGCTCCAGTTGATGTCTTCTCTATTGTTACTATTGAGTGTACCAACAATTAATGGATCACTTAGTAAGTATAATTACAGTGGCCTAACATAAAGTGAAGCATGGCTGATCAGAATAACAAGTCTTTTTTATCTCATATGACACAAGTAATAAAATAGGATAACCTTCAAATTCCTTACATCGTAAAATTGACCTTAAATCACCTTTAAACCTGGTCACGTGATCAATTCAATACCCGACCTTTGACCCCGTAATCCTGTCGTCATGTGATAAGCAATTACTTAGCAGGTCAGGTTGGTCTTCTATCCTAGTAGGGTTGATGTGAGAGTATGCGTGGGCCACTTTATGATACTGCAGATTTAGTTTTATTCGAAGTTGTCCTTGCGATACTAAAAATATCTTAACTGTCACGATATCTCATAATGAAACTTAGTCAACAGGAAAATTTGTAACTCAATGACATTTGAATAATGGTACATTGAATGAATAATGTTGTTTGTTTAAATTCCTGTCAAAGAATGTTGTTCAATGAAGAGTGAGAAGAAGAAGATTTATCCAAATTTTATGAAAGTAATGACTTTAATGATTATCCTTTCAATCATATTAGGTTAACTATGTCAACATTTCCAGTTGTGAAACAACCCTTTATGTTGTTTGCAACATGAATCATTATATAATATGCAATAAAAAATCAAAAAACAATATAAAGACTCAAAAGATATTCTTTAAATTAATGTAAAAGTGGTATTTCATTTGTGACATGTTACAATACCATACAAATAATTGGACGAGGGCATAGATGATGTTTCTTAATCAAGCTTCAATAGTAGTTTTCTTTTAGACTTTTATAAATAGATGGTTACTTCCTAAAAAGTATCGACTACAATTGGATAATTTAAGGACAATAGCTTCAGAATGAAGTTTTCTCTAATATATATGATGTAATCAACTGAATTAAGTCAAAGATAATTTTGAATTCTTTAATTAAGGAATGGACATTCATCTGTTTTTGATTATTTCTTGGACACTGATTGACCAGATGATACTTTTCAAATTTGTAGTAGTTGGGTGTTCAGGAGAAGACAACCTTTTAAAAACCTCAAGTCTTTAGAGAATGAGAGATCCAAATTCATTTGTTCCATTTATTTTTTCTAAGAATATATTCATATTTCAGGATGTCAAATATACATATATTTATAAATAATATACACCTCTTATCTTGAGAACCATTGATTATACCTTTCATAAAATCATTTCCTTTCAATAACATAGTGAACCTTGCTCATAAAGTGACATTCTATTACAATTCTGCAGTCATAAATCAGCCTAAGGGGTTGATATGGAAAAAGCTTCTTGTCATTAAAATAGGGAGAGGCAATAAACTGTAACCATGTACTGTGCCCTCAACAGTTAGGAATAAACTTTCCCTCTTTGCCCACTCCATAATGTTCTCCATCTTCATAATTCAAATAAAAAGTTTACCTATTTCGAATCATTTACGTAGCAGATTAGGATACCACTGCCCTATTCCTATGAAAGGGAAGTAACTCCAAATTATTCAAATTAAACAAAATTAATTTCTAGTAATCCCTGATTTGCAATGCAGAATCATTGTACCAACACAAATGGCAGGTCTGCTTACATGTTCATGCACTTAAAATCTATAATGACAATTATTATACAATGTTAAAGTTGACAAATCAAATTTTGGCCCTGTAGAAAACAACTTTCAAATACAGGCAAGCAGGTATGGAAGATCAACAAGAGTATGAATCTTTATTCCTTGACCCTGTACATTAGATACTTACGTTTGATTTACTATAATGCACTCTATAAGTATATTAAATGAAAAATGACAAACGACTTAGTGAAAGCATGACAGAAGAATTAAACTCGACAACAAAAGACAACAAAATAGGGCAGTAGAGTCAAATAATGTCTGATAAAAATTTCATCTTATTATAGTCAACAGAATTAAAACAATACAGTCATGTAACCTGATTTCGTGCCAATCTTACTTCGTACATCTCCAAAAATGATGAAAAATTGACACCACCTGACGTGACCTCCTCATTTGCATGTTTTGATAAACATGGGCTATCTCTACTTGTCAACCTGCAGAATTTTTCCTATTGTTCTAAAGCAATGCCAAATTTATTATCTATTTCTGACATACGCAAAATGGCGGATTTATTACCAAACGTCTTGCACAAAAAAGGTGATGCATTTTGCAGCCGTTATCGAGTTGGTTACTCATGAAATATGGGTCAAAGTGAGGGATTCATAAAGAATATCGGAACAAACCAATTTTAATTATTTTATAAACCTACTGGTCAACATTGACAACATAAACTTATTCTAGGTTACTTTAAGTGTGTATTGTTTGAAAGAATAGATTGAAAATAAAACAGTTCTGATTTAAAAACTACTGATTATCATTGATAACAAAGCAATCTGTTCATGTGTAGATAATCTTATGTGTAAGGTAACTGAAAATGACTCAAGCAAATACATAATAAAATCTCACCTTGATGAAGGGAGGTAATGCTGTTACTGGCTGTAGACTGTTGATGGTGTTGACTATTGTACTGGTTGCTGTAATATTCTGACTTGTCCTGATTGTTTATATTTCCATTACCAGACATAATACCTCCCCTACAAAAAATCCACTTTAAAGTTCACAAACACATAGGTACGAAAATGTGGTTTTAAACCTTAATAGGATGATTAGGAAATGACGTGTCACACATGACAAATTCTAGTGCTGGCTCGATATAACAGATAATCTATTAATCTTTATTCAACATGCTATGATACTTTACAATACCATGCATTCAGACAATGACAGATCATTTGTAAAGTACGGTAATACATGTGTTATTTTGTTTTTAACTGTAGTAAATACAGTAAAGAACCATTTTATAAAAATAAAATTTTAAGTTTCATCCTCAAAGTTCCAATAACATGATATTTATTCTATTGTCATTATGGAATAACCCCTGCATTATCGTGGCATGATTGGTTATACCAGCACTATTAGATTCACAGAATTTTTTTCAAAAGTGTGGTCTCTATTCCATTCTTATATTAACAAAGACAATAGTAATAACTCAAGAACTGTTCATCAAACATGCATCGAACAACAAACTAAGATTGTGAACAGAAAAAATTAAATTTTGAGCTCGTTGTTGTTGGAGAAGTATGCATAGGATAAGCCTAGTCTAGTTTATATGATGACTTAGTTTCATAGCTTTAGCCCATTAGAAATTTGTAACTGCTAGAAGAAAATAAATTATGCATTATGAGCAACATTCACAAATAAGCAACTGTTGGCATAACTGTATCAATAGGAAAAGAAGTATGGAACTGGTAGCAATATCATCAGTTAAAAAACAGCCTTCCAGGTGGCCGTATTTCACAGGTTCTACTGTCCAAATACTGTTTCAATTTGATATTTTGCTTTGAATCATTGAGTGTTCCAGAAAAAACTAACACAACACATTAATCCCACTTGAAAATATATTTTCAATCATAGCTAAATGCATACCGCAAATATCTCAAAATATTACGAAATAAACCTGCCAACTTCTCAATAGAACTTCACACCATCCATTTCGCTTCAGGGTATTTTCTAAATAATTTCTGATTGGTCAACAAATTATTTTATCTTAGACTTTAACCAATGAAAACAAACGTGACGTTTATATCAATATCCGGTGTCCCCAAGCCTCACTTACAATTATCTTTCCGGTTGTTCTACAAGAAGCCGGTGGTACCCTGAACAGAACGAACTTTAATCTGCCAACATCAGGACAATTTGAAGAGTTATTAAACTTTTGAGATGTTGGGTTTATCCAAAAATAGCCTAGTCTTACTTTTGCTGATATTACCGACTGTGGTTATTTTCGTGGGTCAAGGTACGTGTATTTGTTTACTGGCGTATGTTGGGTTGGCAAGTGGTTATACGTGGCACACGTAATAAACTGTTTTAGACAAACCACCAACCTCAAGTCCCCGAATACTCAACAGATTTCTAGTATTTCTTAAGAAAATAAACATTATGAAATGTATGCATGATTTTATTGGTTAGCTTTTAGTTAAATTGCTAGGTCGTGCATTAGTCTTCTTTATACTTCTTCAATTTCAATAACTTGGGAGTTATTCATCAACTAAAATCCAAGTAAAGGTTGCTTCTTCAGTCTGGACTGAACTTGATATTTCAAAATATCCTAAGATAAATTTGCCATATGGTTATGATCAGAGTTTTTCTCGGCAAACTTAACATTTCTATGAATAACAGTTATTGGTAGATTTGGTCATCCATATGCCATGCACCATGGTTACACATGGTAGTTTTTTTTAAGGATCTAGATTGAAAAAAGATTGCTTGTCTTAAACATTTACTAATTTTTCAGGTGGCAGGAGTAATGTATTAGTTTTTGCAGAAGATGATGTTTTAGAAGGTGAAGATGAAGAAGTTACAGTTGACAATCCTGACGAGGCAACTGCCGATGATGCATCAGAAACAGATATGACTGCGACAGAAAAGGTTTGTATTGTAGATGCTACCAAAACATCCGGATTTGTCCAGACCCAAATATAATTGAAGCTTCAGTGAAAATAAATCTTGGAAACAAAAATTTTGTTCTTGCCTCAGGGAACCGTATGTCTTTCACACTTCAGTGATTTTACATAATGCACTTTTTTCTTAGCAGTTTATTTTGCAGCCTTGATAGTTCATCATGGGCCTTTTTTTTTAAAAACAATTGTATCTTATTTTTTTTCACCAGGAAGATGAAGATGAATCGAGGCTAAAACCATCACCTGATGCTGATGCAGTTATTCATTTTGTGCGTCCAGATAAACCATCAGGTGAGGATTGAGCTTATACCATTGTAATGATGTAAATATGCATTTAATGAGGAATGGTAACTTATATAGCTTTCTGTGATCTGCATCATTTTTTGAAATTTTTTCATCACATTCATCGTGAACTCATTTTCAAAGAAATATAATTTATTTCAGAGCTACCTGCTGGCAGATTGGTTCGTATTTTAGTTGGTTTTACTAATAATGGTGATAAAGATTTTACAGTTGAAAGTATGGATGCCTCATTCCGTTATCCACAAGATTATTCTTTCTACCTACAAAATGTAAGTACTATTGCTAGTTTCATGCTCTGGACATCTGAAAATTGGTTTCATCAAGGAGTTCTGGCCATTTCACTGGTCTGATCATGGAATGGTAGGATTTGGTTTCCCCTGCTTTCAGTTATGTAAAAAGTTATTACCTATCATTGTGTTTTGATATATTGTCACTTAGATTATCTAATACCTAATCAAATAAGTGGCATATTAAGCATGTTTACATCATATTAAATCTCAATGATATCAATATCATTGGGATAATGAAACATGCCAGATAAAATTATAAGCTAGAGCATTGTCACTATTATAGTGCCAGTGTGTAGAACTTTTTAAACAGATCATAGTAGATCTTCTTGGATTTATGAATATATTTTTCTTTGAACATGTTAATAATTCCACTCCAATCTTTTTCAGTATACTACTGTCCCATTTGGCCAAGTTGTAGAACCTAAACGCCAAGCAACATTTGAGTACTTTTTCACTCCAAGTGACGCTTTCAGTGGTCGACCTTTTGGACTGACAGTTATGTTAAACTATAAAGATGCAGTGAGTATTATTTCACTTTCTAGCAACTGCAAATTTTGTCCATAATTTAGTAGCCATGTGGTTACTAAATTAAGAAAATTTGCTAGAGCAACTTGTGATACTAAAGCATTAGCCAATTTATGTTGGTTGGTGTGTCGAAATCATAACACATATAACCAAAATTTTCTTCCCTGCTGAACTTGTCACGTTTTATGTTAACATAATGCCTTCCAAGAGTTTTTTGTGATGTTCCATACTTGTTAATGTTTATTTACTTGTAGACTGGTGCTGAATTTGCTAATGCTGTATTCAATGAAACTATAACAGTAGTAGAACCAGAGGAGGGTTTAGATGCAGAAACGTAAGTTGAAAGTTTTGAAAGCTGTCTTGGTTATTCTGTTAATATTGTCACAAGGACATGAAGATTATTGCTTTAACTATATAGCTGGAGCCAAAATTATTGCCTACTTTTGGCTGTAACATTTGTTTTGCGTTGGATTTGTCATCAATGTGTTAAGATTATAACTCAGATGCTTTTGTTTTCTGTGTATTATTGCATTGATCTGAAAATACGGCTTTCTAACATTGTTTTGTGTTTGATTAAGTCAGACTGGATTCATAGGTTTTCTCAAATTGATTGATCCATTACATCTAGTGGTTTATTTAAGCTAAATGGCCTTAATGTCCAAAAGCATGTTTACATCATATTAAATCTCAATGATATCAATATCATTGGGATAATGAAACATGCCAGATAAAATTATAAGCTAGAGCATTGTCACTATTATAGTGCCAGTGTGTAGAACTTTTTAAACATTTAATATTGTATAACTGTATTTTGGTTTCGACATTTTTGGCTTGCATTGATTGGTTCTCTATTTCTTCTTTCAGTTTTTTCATGTATGTGTTTTTAGCTGCTGCTGTTGTGTTATTACTTATTGGTGCTCAACAATTACTTTCATCATTCAAAGTAAGTATTATATCTATGATCAAAGTCTAATATATAGACTTTGTAGTTACTCAGCAAAGCCTTGCTGAAAGTTAAATAAGATGTCCATTACAAAATCCATAAACAGACAAATTTATGAAGATTATTGTCCTCATTAACTTCAATTATACATCTATGGCAGATCAACCAGCGAGTCTTGATAATTTTAATCTTGATTCTCCTAGAAACCTGCCTAAACTAAACATGTTGATAGTTTGACCGCCTGCTATTATGTGGCTTGTGGATAGATTTGACATACAGATCTTAATATTGAAAAGCATTTTTTATACACACTAAGATGACGGTTTTCATAGAATTTTTAAGTTATTGCCCTGGCTATAAATGAAAATTTGTTTAGATTTTGTCTGAATTTTAGACTAGGTAATAGTAATGCTTATCTGGAATGTTTAGCTCTTGAATTACATGGAGACATTTAATGATAATATAATGCATTTGTAGATTGCCTTCAATCCAGTAAATAATACTGCTTCGTGGTGCTATTACATTTTTATATGCCCACATGAAATGGGGGCCGTATATTGTCGTCACCCATGTATGTCTGTCGGTCCGTCCGTCTGTCCGTCCACAATTGCTCGTAAACACTCTACAGGGCACAATTCTTGACGGATTTTAACGAAACTTAGTATGTGTGTTCGGAATCACCCAAGGATAAACCCTATTGAAAATCAGCGAAATCGAAAAATATTTAGCATGAATTATTGCCCTTGTTAGCTCGTAAACACTCTAGAAGGCACAATTCTTGACAGATTATGACGAAACTTGGTATGAGTGTTTGTAATCACCCAAGGATAAACCCTATTGAAAATCAGCGAAATCGAAAAATATTTAGTATGAATTATTGCCCTTGTTCTTGCAAACTCGTTCAATTTTTAGCTCGTAAACACTCTAGAAGGCACAATTCTTGAAGGATTTTAACGGAACTTGTTATGAGTGTTCGTAATCACCCAAGGATAAACCCTATTGAAAATCAGCGAAATCAAAAAATATTTCATATGAATTATTGCCCTTGATCTTGAAAACACGTTCAATTTTTAGCTCATAATCACTCTAGAAGGCACAATTCTTGATGGATTCTGACGAAACTTGGTATGAGTGTTCGTTATCACCCAAGGATAAACCCTATAGAAAAATCAGGGAAATCGAAAGATA